ATCAATCCTATTGGAATAACTGGAGTCCATTTAACTGCTTTCAGAGGTCAGTGTAGCTGGAGAACACTTTCTGCCAGTATCTCTCGTTTTGTGAATGCATGACTATTAGAGCTAAGACTTCCATCAAAAATGTTAAACCAGTCGAGTGCTGATCTAGTGCTGGTTTAGCTAGTCAACCAGCACGGTCATGCTGGTTGACCAGCATACCAGCATCCAAAACACAATATATGCTGGTTTTGCTGGCAGCATAATAACCCTTTTGAAGTGGCCTTTTCAAAAGAAATACCATGCTATATTGAAAGAGTCACTACTCCTCAGCAGTGCGAGTTAGAGAGATTAGTTTTTTTCAGTTGGAACTAGAGAAACAGTGCCAAAATGCAGGCCTAAGATTATTGTTGAGTGTTGTTTAGTTTCCAGTCAAAATTCATAGAAAATATGTGTAGCATACCTTTTCCATGCACTTGGCGCAATGCTTGTTCAGTTGTTTTGTTTGCACGTTTAGATTAGACAGTTTTAATCCACCTTTATTCAGAGTGCTTGATTTGCAGATTTGAAAGTCGAGGTGGGAGTGTCCATGCGCAGCAACAGACTACCACTCATATTCCCAGTCAGTGATGTATGTTGAGTGATGTTTTTGTCTAACAAAGTTGGATCCACCCGTTGTAAAATGTAAAACATGATTGGTGGATTCTACTGTTACTCCCTAATGATGCTGGTAGTTAATCTAACGTATGAGGCCTTCACTCAAGCTCCTGAAGTCCTAACCAAGAGGAAAAAAGGCTTAATGATGTCTGCTGCAAGTTTCAAATAAAAACAAATGTCCTTTACAAGCTTTAAATGTCAGTGTTTAAAATAGACTGGGCAAAAATGCTGTTTTGTTTTTTTATTTTATATATAAATATATTTGTCTATTTGGCAACATATGCTGCCATCCAGACAACATCTTTTTCAGGGAAGGCCTTGCTTATTTCAGGAAGACAGTGTCAAACCACATTCTGCATGTATTACAACAGCACTGTTCCATATTAAAAGAGTTTGGGTGCTGAACTGGCCTGCCTGCAGTCCAGACCTGTCACCACTGATAACATTTGGCGCATTATGAAATGAAAGATACGACAAAGGAGACCCCGAACTGTCGAGCAGCTGAAATCCTATATCACACAAGAACAGGAAAACATTTCACTTTCAAAACTACAGCAGTGTCTCCTCAGTTCCCAAACACTTACAGAGTGTTGTTAAAAGAAAAGGTGATGAAACACAGTGGTAAACATGTCCCTGTCCCAAAATGTGTTGTTAGCATCAAATTCAAAATGGGCATTTATTTTTCAATAAACATTTCTTTTTTAAATATGGTTTACATGATTTGCATATCACTGCATCCTGTTTGTATTTACATTTACACTGCATCCCAACTTTTTTGGAAATTGGGTTTTATATATATATACAGAACTTCAGGTCTCAGAGGTTTATTCTGTTTTTGTAGCTTTTAAAGAAAAAACTTATTATGTAGAATGCAGCAGATGAGCTTTTGAAAAACTGCTTTAGATAAGTTTTTTACAGTGATAAATGTGGTGTGATGGTGAGTTCAGCTGGTTTTAATAACCTCTTAAAGCTCTTTGAACTTGTTTTTGCCATAGTATCCTAGTAAAGTGATCAGTGGAATGTCAAATCTAAATTTAATTCTTAGCTTTGTAATCCACACATATTGACCCTCTTAGAATGCAGTCAGCAATCATGCCTTCCATCCAACCTGACTCTTTTGTTATGTCACTGTCCTGCATGATGTCCTGTAGGTTTGTCGGACACCTTTTTACCTGACAGAATCAATGTTAGCTACAGTGACGCTGTTCCTCAGGACCAGTTTCCCATTGATGTACAGATGTCCATCAATTTTAAAGGTACGATAAGTGTTCTGTGTCAGGGTTTCTCAACCTGTGGTCCGTGGACCACCAGTGCGCCGTGGGCCTGAACTCTGGGACTCTGAACTCGATCTTGTTCAGGCCCTATTTCTCAGATTTTCAGTTTCAGCAGTTGTTCTTTGTACTTATAAACAGGTGGGCCCTGGGATAGAAAAGGTTGAGAACCTCTGTTCTATGTAATACTGTCAAACACTTTTTGTCATTCACTGTACTCTTTCATCAACAGACTGTAAATATAGAGAGTTAAAATGTTCTCCAGATGTAGGATGCAGTGATTATGGTATTCTTCTAAACATTGTGTTCCCCCAAGTAGAACTGTATAAAAAATTGATTTAAACAGGTAAATAAGAATAGAAAACATAGCAGTTAAGTGCAACTCCAGGCTGGATTTGTTATGCACTCGGATCAGATTAATTCTCCAATCCGGCATCTTCTGGATACTGGATATCAGGTCGGTGCCATCTCCTGGAGGTAGTATAGCAGACCTGGTCCCAAAACTAACTTGTAAGTTGGCATTCGAAAACCACAGTGGAGCCAGAGGGTTAGGTAGATCTACAGTAGATCTATCCAAAGCAGACATGCATTTAGAGCATCATCCAAACACAGCCAATATGAAGTATTGCATGCAGACCCTCCTATATTAATCATTTAATTTTATACTTGGCGGGTGGCAAATAGTAGCAGTGCACACAAAGTGCATTTTTATTTTGAGGGTTTTTATTGCTCGTCATAACAAAGGCATGTACAAGACAGTGGTTTTATTAGGCCATTATGATTAGTTGGTGGAGTATTGCCCCACTAAGGCCTTGTCCACACATATCTGGATATTTTAAAAAAGGCATTTTTCTTCTCAGCTCTTAATCCACACCAACAGCATTTTCAAAAATCTCTCCTTTCACATGAGAATGCAAAACCAAAATGCGCATATGAGCATGTTCGTTCATTAGAGAACAATGTGAGCATGCATATTGTGCAAAATTTACACAAAGTGATGGCGCAGACTTACAAACTTGGTAGGCTTTGACATAGTATTTCACACAGGTTCAGAGTCTGATTCCTGCCAGAAAATAAAAGCTTCAAAAGAGAAAGAAAGCCTACTGCTTCCTACTCTGAGAAAACATTTTAAGAGCCCCCAGAACAAGAGTTACTGAGAAACAATAGCATAATATAACAAACAGCCATAGAGATGGAAATTTAATATATATAATATTTTCTCTAAAAATATAATTTCAATGGACATCTATGGAGAAACATGCTCTTTTGTACTAGACAAAATTTATAGTAGGGCTAGTTGGGCTTGTTAAAGGCAACAAGATTAGTTTTTGATTTAAAAGTTTTATAGGCTTTTTTTAACCATCAGAATTAGAATCTTTTTACTTGCAGTGCTAATGACTGATTCTGTTACTTCTAGTGCTGCATCACCATGTTTTTCTCTCTCTTAATCGACGTACCTCAAAATAAAGCTGATGCTGGTGTTAATGCTGGTGCTGACATTAACGTTGGATTCGTGCTCTACAATAATGATCAGTTCTTCAGGTCTAAATTGTTTGAAGTTTCTCTGGACACAAAGAGAAGAGTGATCTCAGGAAATCTGGGAAAAAACAATATCCTCGACTCTGTTCGGTTCAACTTGCGTAATCAGGTAAGGGGTGTCTCCATTAATCGCTGTTGTGTTTGGGTGGTCCTTGACAACTTACGAAGTTGTCACATCACAAAATTATAAATGTTTGGCCATCAGCTGTTGCTAACACACAGTGTGATCTGAAAAAGACACTCACTGACCACTTTATAATGTACTAGAGTACTGTGCAAAAGCCAGAGACCACTTTTTTATTTCACTTCCACCAAAGACCACCAAAACTGTCCGTGCTTTCGTCTTGGAGTAAGAGGAGAAAATCAAGCTGCTTCAGCTCTGAAAACATCCACAGGAGATTCTGTCCATCCTTCCACTGTGAGAAGAAAACTCTGGGCTATGGGTCTCATTCATCAACCATTCTTAAGAAGAAATTTCTTCTTGAAACCCACTTATGCAGTTTTTACAAAGATTCTGACAAAGATTCACCAATGTTTTCTTATTTGGGACTTAAGTAAGAACAGAATCTATGATTTTACTTGATTGTGTTCAAGAGTCCAAAGGTGGAAACAACTCTGCGATTTAAGAACACATCATCAATCTGATGTAGACTTTTTCTTAGGACATTTCTCAAGAATAATTTAGGAAAATATTGGTGAATGAGGCCCATTGTCCATTATAGCAGCTCCACTTACCCTATAGGTGCACTTTATAGTTCTACAATTACAGATAGCAGTCCATCTGTTTCTCTACATCATTTGTTTTCCCAGGTTCATCAGTGCTCCACCACAGAGCAGGTGTTATTTGGGAGGTGGATCATTCTCATGGTAGTGACGTGGTAAAGGGGGGGATAACAAATGATGCAGAGGAACAGATGGACTGCAAATCTGTAACTGAACTACAAAGTGCCCCATATGGGAAGTGGACCATAAGTATAGATCAAGGTAGATGTACCTAGTAAAGTGGCCACATCAGATTTGGTTGTTGCATGCCTTCTTATTCCCTATAGGTAGGTTTCATTGATGTGTGGATCATTTGTACATTGTTTGCCAGCTTGGCCTACTGTATTCATGTAATGTTGGAGAACATACTGACTGGTCACAACATCACAATTCAGTAAACTTGAGTTTATCACTAGTATTTCTGAGTTTTTCAGCCATTGGATAATTTCCTTAACAACTACCTCATAAATTCACTTGCATATGCATGTGGAGTGTTCTGGCAGACCCCATGAACTCGTTTCCATTGTCTTCTAGTGTATGAGATGCCCACTGCATTCACATAAGTGTTGAGAATAGTGATCTAAGGGGAATGTCTGTCTTAAACATAGCTTATGCTAACATGGAGATGCTAATATTGTATGCCTTCCGAGGGGACTGCTTTTTCCCTATAGGTAGGCTTCATTGATGTCTAAGGGGAATTTCATTGATGTCTAAGTGGAATGTCTGTCTTAAACACAGCTTATGCTAACATGGAAATGCTAATCTGGTTTTCAGAATCCGTCCTCAATGAGCATCCAGGATATTGCGTGCGTGTTTTGGGACTACAACCGGACAGATTGGAGTACAGAAGGCTGCAACAAAGTCACAAAGTCCTTCAGTAGCTCAGACTCCTTCGCTGTCCTGACCTGCAGCTGTAACCACACCACTAACTTCGCTATGCTAATGGTGAGGCTGGGCTGTTAGCACATCTGGAGGGGTGCAGAAGGCATTATTTTTGAGGGTCATTTTCACAAAAAGTGACCAAACAAGTGGGATATTATAACATCCATGTCCATTCCATTCTGCTATGAAATAAAGAATATTATGTACAGAAGTTAATCAGGTCAATATTGTGTTTCGTTGCAGAGTTTTAGCCAAAACTACAAATATTCTGAAGCTTTAGGCGTGATCAGTATAATCGGCTGTGCTCTGTCTGTTGCGGGCTTGGTCATCACAGTACTGTTCCAGATCCTGACAAGGTAAGAAGCTAATACAGTTCAGTTTGTAGTAAGCAGTCATGATTTTTTTTTTATTTTGGCACTGTTTAAATTAAACAATAACTGATTAATGTGACATATTTAGTTCATCAAAGTTTGCTGCCAAATTTTTGCACAAAGAGTTATGAGGCTAATGTAGCTAATAAGCAGTGGAAGCTTATAGCCAACTATAGAGCTTAAACAAGGCCTAAAATTTCCATCTGAACACAAATACAGCCTATCTGCCCATACGTCATCAAATTTTGAGTTGAAAATCAGCCGTGTCCAACAAAATCTGTCAGAACCGGCCCGAACCAGCCCGAATAAAATTTGATATTCGTTATAACAGTGCTGGTTAAATTGTGTAGCAACAGTAAAAGCTTAATAAAATGATTAAAATTAATATGATGTAATAAAATAATAGGCTTAATTAAGTAAAATGAATAAAATTGCCAAATAACCCACCATCACATGAACGTTCTGCTGTTCTGGAGTTCAACATATACGTCATAAAATATTGGTTTGAAATATCAGCCAAATCTGTCCAATGCAGATCAATTTTTTATGTAATTATTTGCAGATACTAATATGATTCCTATGTCATCATGCATCCCTATCCAATATGCAACTGCTGATATTCAGCCTGTTAACTTTCTGGTCATTGTTTCATTTCAAAATCCAGCATTCTCCAGTACAGAGCAAAACTTATACAACAGTGCACCGTGTATTGTTGTTGTAGCATGGCAGCTTCTGAACACCAGGTGGTGCCAAAATGTCTCCAAGATTACTTTGTAGAAACTTAAGTAGAAGTCAATTTTTCATGACTGCCTCTTGATTCTCAATGTCATACTGCAGTAATCTTAATTATTATAGTTTTATAATGTTATACCTTTCTATGATAAAACATAACACTGACCTTTTGTGTTGTTTTTCTTTTTTTGTGTTTTTTTTGCATTATTTGAAAATAACGGCTTAACAATTACAACCCCATTTCCAAAAAAGTTGGGACGCTGTGCAGAATGTAAATAAACATAGAATACAATGATAAGCAAATCATGTAAACCATATTTTCACCATATCAGAAGTTGAAACTGAGAAATTTTATTGTTTTTTTGAAAAATATATGCCCATTTTGAATTTGATGCCAACAACATGTTCCAAAAAAGTTGGGATGGGGGCCTGTTTACCACTGTGCTGCATCACCTCTTCTTTTAACAATACCCTGTAAGCATTTGGTCTCCTGAACTGAGCAGAACTGAGGAGACCAATTGATGTGGTTTTGAAAGTGAAATGTTTTCCCATTCTTGTTTGACATAGGATTTCAGCTGCTTATCAGTTCGGGGTCTCCTTTGCCATATTTTTCATTTCATAATGTGCCAAATGTTATCAGTGGTGACAGGTCTGAACTGCTGGCAGGCCAGTTCAGCACCCGAACTCTTTTAATATGGAACAGTGCTGTTGTAATACATGCAGAATGTGGTTTGACATTGTCTTCCTGAAATAAGAAAGGCTTTTCCTGAAAAAGATGTCATCTGGATGGCAGCATATGTCACCAAAACATGTATATATCTTTCAGCATTAATGGTGCCTTCACAGATGTGCACGGCATCCATGCCATGTGCACTAATGCAAGCCTATACCATCATAAATACTGGCTTTTGAACTGTGCACTGATAACAAGCTGAGTGGTCTTCAGCCCAGAGGACAAAGTGTCCATGATTTCCAAGAAGACAGGACACTTTTTCCACTCAGTCCATTTTAAATTAGCTCGGGCCCAGAGAAGGCGGTGGCATTTGTGGATACTGTTTCTTCTTTGCATTTTAGAGTTTTAACTTGCATTTGTGGATGCAGTGATGGATTGTTTTCACAGACAGTGGTTTTCAGAAGTGTTTCTGAGCCCATGCAGTGATTTCCACTACAGAATCATGTCTGCATACAGAGTTTTCACCAGATTCTGTGAATCTTTGAAAGACATTATGTACTGTAGATGATGAAAAGCAAAAGTTCTTTGCTATTTTATGTTGAGAAACGTTATCCTTGAATTGCTGCATCTGTCTGTGCAGTCTTTCACAGAGTGGTGAATGTCTCTCCATATTTACTTCTTAAAGCTTGTCTGGGATGCTCTTTTTATACCCTGACCTGACCTGTTGCCAATTAACCACCAGATATTTTTTTTAGCATTAAACAACTTTACCAGCCTTTTGTAGCCCCCGTCCCAATTCTAATTTTAATGTGTTTTGTAAAGGCATCAAAATTACTGTGCACATGTGGAATACAAAGTTGCCATGTTGAAATTCACTGGAGCACTTTTTTTTCCTACACAAACATTTACTAATGAACAAAACCTCGTATATCCATTTTTGTTGTTTTTCAGTTTATGACATAATTCAAAATTACCTGTGGTTCTTTACATTGTGTGTAAATTTCATGATGAATGGTCCAAAAGAAATGGCCCAAAATGACTTGGAAAAAAGTGGTTCTATTGACTTACATTATAAGTACGTTTTTTCTTTAAATGTATCATTTTGGAGATGTTTGTTCTGACAGTAGCGGAATACGTAAACCCGCCTTGGTTTATCACTCATTTAAATGAAAAAGTTTGGCAAAAAACACAGTTTTTCACTTATCCCAGATGTAGTCTATCAGCTAAGACATATTTGGAGTTCAGAACTTGCTTCTTTAGTTCAGTGCTGGAGCTGTGAAGCTAACATTGCTAAAAAAGCAGTCAATAGTCACTCAAATATTTTCTGTAAATACACCTCCAAAACTTCTCTCGACCCACTCAAGCTGTGTCCACTTCTTCATCAAGGTCATGCAGACTTGTCAATTGGTTTAGAGCACAGTACGACTTACTGTAAAATATAAAAAAGAGCAAAACTTCACTGTGATCACTACAAACAGCAACGTTCGACAACAGATGTTGTGCTGAATTCTGTGCTTGCATTTCATGCAGGCCTATGGATACTAGGTCATATCTTCAATTAAATTCAATATTAACGTTTATTTGTGGGTAGAAACAACAGAATTTGAAAACGTTATCTGTAGCATCCATATGTCAGAATCCGGCACCCAGCATTTAGCTACATGGTGATGTTTTGTTCAGGTTTATAGCTTGGCGAATCTGCACCACCATAACAAAGAGCTGAATGTGGTTCGAGTAAGCTGAGAGAAGTTTGGTGGATCTCTTTACACAACTGATTTGGGTGACTATTGACTTCCAGTGTTTGTTAGCAATGTTGGCCTTGTAGCTCCAGTGCAAAACTAAAGAGGCAAAATTTGGACTATTCCTTTAACATCACCCTTCTGTCTGCAGAAGGTCCAGAGGAGTGAGCCCCACTTTTCTGATGGTCAATATCTGCGTGAGCATGACCATCTTCTACCTCCTCTTCATCTTCGGCATTAACAACCCGGTCCAACATAAGGCTGCATCTGCCCCGTCACCGATCAACTCCATCCCACCATCTGATGTCCACCATGAGATGGACCGGGGACCGTGCACAGCCATGGCTGCCCTGCTGCAGTATTTTCTTCTGGCCACGTTCACCTGGAGCACCCTGTACGCTGCCCAGATCTTCTTCGTGATCAAAAACGCCATCTCGGGTGCACCACGAAACATCAACACTTTCTCCATTGTAGCCGGCTGGGGTAAGAGGCCATAGCCTGTCAGAAATACTGCCTTCTTAAGTAGGATTTACAGTAGCAGTCAAAAGAAAAAACAGTGGCAATAACAGACTGACCTTCAAGTTCTGATTTAGAGAAAGTTCAGATGATTCTCTCTGGGCTTCAAGTGAGAGGCGGGGTTTGATTTGGTCAAAGATCGATTTTTCTTTGCTGTCCAAGCGTCAATATTTTTCCTATCTCATTTGGTTATTGTTCAGCTTTCATGTCCATAAAGAACCACAGAGAAGACCACAGTCTGGACAATTCTGTTCTATGTAGAGACAAATCGTTGGATTTAAAGATTTTTTGAAGTGCCTTCCTCCTTGTTCTCCCGAGTGCCAATTAGGACTGCAACAAACCAATATTTTGATACAGATAGATAGATAGATTCTTCTAGTACAAAGCACAGTAAAAAGCAAATAAATTGAGCAGTAGCAATGTATTGCCATACACTATTTACAGATATATAAAAAGAAAGTAGAGATAAATAATAAAAGAAAGTACACTAAACAATAAACAATAAGAGCAATGTGTGGATGCATAAACAAAATGACAGTGCAATGTGCAATATTAGTGGACAAAAACAAAATAAACAAAGTGGCAGTGCAGTATTAGATATGATAAACAAAATAAACAAAGTGGCAGTGTAATATGACATAAGAGTAAACACAGTGGCAGTGTAATATGTGACCAGTAGACCAATCTGCTTATCTCTCATCTTTAGAAAAGAAAACACCAATCTTTTCTGCAGGAGCACATGTGCCAATGTTGTTTCTCTTGAAGAGTAGTTCTCCTTTAAAGTCCTCTTGAGAGCAGGGTCAGTGGAAGGGAGGGCTCAGAGAAATATCTGACTGTGTATGTGTCCTGCCTTCAAATTTACTTGGTTCTAAATATTACCAAGTGATTATGTAATTACTGTCTGTTAGATAATGAATGAGGTGTTGCTGTTCTTCGAAAGAAGATAATGATGATGAGGAACAATACAAAATCAAACAGTGGTAACATTATTAATGAACTAGGAGTTAATGATGTTCAAGAACAGTATAAAATGAAACACATGATAACTCATTACCAATGAACTCAGAGTTAATGATGATCGAGAACAGTATTATAACGTGAAACACATGATAACTCATTACTAATGAATTAGGAGTTACTGATGATCAGGAACAGTATTATAAAGTGAAACACATGGTAACTCATTACTGAACTTAAAGTTAATGATGATCTGGAACAGTATTATAAAGTGAAACACATAGTCACTCATTATTGATGAACTAGGAGTTAATGATGATCAGGAATAGTATAAAGTAAAACTCATAGTAACTCATTACTAATGAACTAGGAGTTAATGATGATCAGGACCAGTATTATAAAGTGAAATACATTAGAAATAAACACCCCTAAAGAAACAATGTACTATAGTACAAACAATTATTAAAGAAATTTTGAAAAAAGTAAGAGTAAATAAGTTGTATTAAGTGTATTGAGTCCTTTATTTATTTGTGAACAGTCCAAATGTGAAAACATCCCTGAGTTAACTAGCTATATCATTGAAAATAATAAAGCCAAAAAATTAATAAATCAAAATCTGTCATTACTACTGAAGGAGAAATTCTGAGAGCTGAGACTGATCACAGTATGTTCTGCTAGTACATTAATTACACATCTTTCTGTTTCATCTCTAAGGACTTCAAATATGCACTCATTTAAGTGCATCTTAGTCAGTGCATCTTAGCAAGTCTTCCATCACCACAATCCACTACTGCTACTGATGATGATGACGATGATGATGATTATGATTATTATTATTGTTATTGTAGTAGTAATAATAATATAAGTAGTAGTAGTAGTGTGAGCTGAACTAAAAGACAGTAAAACTTGGTCTCAGATATGAAACAGAAAGATTTGTAATTAATGTACTAGGAGAACATACTGTGATGAGTCTCAGCTCTCAGACTCCTTCAGTAGTAATGACAGATTTTGATTTAATTTCGTTTGGGTGTATTATTGTGTGTTGGGTGTATTATGACTGTTCACACATAAAAAGGACTCAATAAACAACTTATTTACTCTTACTTTTTTCAAAATTTCTTTACTAATATTTTTTCGTACTGCAGTACATCATTTCTTTAGGGGTTTTTATTTCTGATGTATTTCACTTCATAATACTGGACCTGATCATCATTAACTGCTAGTTCATGTGTTACCATGTGTTTCTTTTATAATACTGTTCTAGATCATCATTAACTCCTAGTTAATTAGTAATGAGTTACAATGTGTTTCACTTTATAATACTGTTTCTGATCATCATTAACTCTGAGTTCATTGGTAATGCATTACTCTGTGTTTCACTTTATATTGTTCTAGATCATCATTAACTCCTAGTTCATTAGTAATGAGTTACCATGTGCTTTACAATACTGTTCCTGATCATCATTAACTCCTAGTTTATTGGTAATGCATTACCATGTGCTTTATAATACTGTTCCTGATCATCAGTAACGTCTAGTTTATTAGTAATGAGTTACTGTGTGTTTCACTGTATAATACTGTTCCTGATCATCATTAACTCCTAGTTCATTAATAATGAGGGCCAGTGTTTCACTTTTATATTGTTCCTGATCACCATTATCTCCTAATGAAGAACGACAACACCTCATTCATTATCTAACAGACAGTAATTACATAATCACTTGGTAATATTTAGAACCAAGTGAATTTGAAGGCAGGACACATACACAGTCAGATATTTCTCTGAGCCCTCTCTTCAACTGACCCTGACCTCAAGAGGACTTTAAAGAACTACTCTTCAGAAGAAACACTGGCACATGTGCTCCTGCAGAAAAGATTGGTGTTTTCTTTTCTAAAGATGAGAGGTAAGCTGACTGGTCTACTGAATACTGTAGTATTTTAGCAGTTGTCCCATTTGTAGGCTGATGTGCAAATTGGTTCACACTGCCAACTATGAAGATATGCATTAGCCGTTTGAGGTTTCTGTTCAAAACAAACACATGAGGGACACCAGTCAGTACAATGTGGTATGATGCCCCCAGGCTTCTCTGAGGATACCTGTTTCTGTGAATAGAAATAAAAGGTATAATCCATTATATTGTAGAGACTGCACACTGTGTAGTGTATTTCACTACTGTTAGAAGGGTTGGAATACACTACATCAGTTAGTAGTTCAGCAGGAACCTTATCAGGCTCAGCTATTGAGCAGTTATTGTTGAATTGATAATTGGATTGGTAATATTGAGTAGTTATTCTAAGAAACCATAGGAGCTAAGTAATTCTCTGCGAGACTCAATAGTTATTGTTTAGTGAATAGTGAACTATCCTAATCATTAGTTCTTAATTGCCTGGTAGTTAAGAGTAGTAACTTAAGTGTTAATGCAGCACTACTCATTCATTCCTGCTTAGTTCCTGATTAGTTACTTAACTACGAAACAGTATTGTAACGTGTTTCCCCATCTTTTTTAAGAGTGTAGAGGTTCTTCATAACAGTGATCAGATGCCCTGGTATTTTCATTTTCCATCATTTTATGTGGTCAACACAGTTGAAGGCTTTGCTGTATTCAATAAAACATGTTGTCCTCCTTCTTGAACTCCTTGTCTTTTTCAGTCATCCATGATTCTGGATAGCTAGCCAATTTGTTTGGTTGTAGATGGTTGTGACGGATGTATTTGACCAATCAACGGTCTGTACCATTTCTAGCTCTCTTCATACATCCCAGATCAGCACAGCTATTCAGACACAGTCAGGTTCTGCTAGCGGCTTCATTTCAATTCAAGAGAGGCTTCGCTGCCCAACCTAGCGAGCTAATGGATATGCCAACATTAATATGAAGCTGAAGTTGGCTTCCTTTGTGCCTGCTTCTTGCTCAGATTTTCCCATCCCACTTGGTGCAGCAGTTACAATATGGCAAATATAAAACTGAAGAGAGGCTACATCTTTCTCGCATCTGGGTGTGGTTTCAGCACCTTCAGCGGACATGACTAGTGTTTCAGAGCAGACAATACTGCTTATTTTTTACAAGCTCAGAACACATTTATTTCAGCTTTACACTGACTTTAAAAGTCAGAAGCATCAGGGCTCAATTTTTATGTCTCAAATGCAAAATCAACATTAATCTGATGAAGATATGATAATAATAGAAAATAATTCACTCTTGGAAGACACTTCCTTTACCAAATTTTGATTTCTGTGTCAATGCACTAGCAATTATCAGATTCATCCACTCAGAGAAGGGGTCCGAAGCACAACCCACATTACAAAATATTCTTGCACACACTGTGTGCAATTACACATTTCCACCAGAGAGGTCCCCAAAGCCCAAACATTTACATATTCTGAAGTAAATAATCGATAAAGCGCTCATCTGATAATGCTCCATTTCACCGGTCACCATGTCAGTGTTTTCATGGCTGCATGCCGCCATTGGTGGCGTACCACTGTGAGGTAGTGCCAATCTGTAAATGCAGCATTAAGGATGCAACATTAGGACTGTGTTCAAAGAGTGATCAGGATGTAGAATTTTTCTGTTAGCTCTTGTTTACCAGTCTACCTCATCTCTCCTCTGGCCAGTTTCTTGTTAAATTTAATTGCCTAAAAAGTGTGTCCTTAGAGCAAAGCTAATTTACAGTCCGATTTGAAATTTTACTTGGGATGGTTTATTGTCTATACAGATTGTGAAATTAAAAAGTTGGACTCTCTTAAGCTTAAAGTGTTTGTCTAATACCGTTTTTCTCCCTCACCTTCAGGTTTCCCTGCTGTGATAGTTGGCATCTCATTAGGAGCCACATACCGACCAGATAAACCCTTAAACTACCAACAGGAGGAGTTGTAAGTAAAATTTTTCTCAATTTCTCTGCTGTGCTAGGATCTAGCAGCTGAAATGTTCTATTGAAAATGACACAGTTAACACAGTTTTCCCCCTTTATCCCAAATGTAGTCAGTCAGCCAAAGGCATGGTGTTCCAAGTTTGCATCTTTAGCTTTGCACTGGAGCTATGAGGCTAACCAAATTAACCACCGGTGGTTATAAGTTTCCATTAACAGGTACTGGAATATAGCCACCAGTTTAGCATTATGCAAACTGCATTAACACAGCTGTGTCTGATACATTTGTACCAGCAACACAAACTACTCTCACTGCTGTGCTGAGAATGGACCACCACCCAAATAACATCTGGACAAGAGCAGCCCTGTGGTCAGAAACTGACCAGTGATAAATGGGGTAGACAGGGGCTGATACACTGTGCTACAGTCTGTAACTGTACACTTATAATAGAGCTATAAAGAGGGTGTTTCTAATAAAGTGGCCAGTGAGTGGAAACACAAGGTAGGTATTTCTAATAAAGTGGCCAGTGAGTGGAAGCACAAGGTAGTCGTTTCTAATAAAGTGGCCGGTGAGTGGACGTATCAAAAATCACTATAACTATCTGATGTAGTATTATTGGGATATCTGACTTTGTTTATGTGTCTGTGTGTTGCAGTTGTTGGCTGGCTGCGCTGACTCCCAACAAGGAGTTTGATGTATGGAAGCCCATGTTCTGGGGTTTTCTTCTCCCACTTGCTCTAATGATCTTTTTCAACATTGCTGTACTCTTTTACTTCGCACTCACCACCTGCAGGACTACCCAATCACTCAACAGGTGTGTATTGCTGTAATTCACAGTACTTTCTCATAATACATTACACAAATGTATGTGGACATCTGGCCTAAATGAGCTATATCACCTATATTAGCTTGTTGGATATCCCCTTCTAAAACCCTCAGCATTAATATGAAGTTGGCTGACCTTTGCAGCTGTAACAGCCTGCATTACTCAGAGAGGGCTTGCCAGAAGATTTTGGAGTGTGTCTGTGGGAATTTGTGCCCATTCAGTTAAAAAAAAAACATTTGTGAGGTCAGACAATGATGTTGGATGAGAAGGCCAAACACATTAAACCATGCCTTTATGGAGCTCGCTTTGTCCACAGGGTCACAGTCCTGCTGGAACAGGAAAAGGTCTTCCCCAAACTGTTGTAACAAAGTTAGAAGCATATAATTGTCTAAAATGTCTTTGTATGTTGTAGCATTAACATCACCCTTCACTGGAACTAAGGGGACCAAATCCTGAAAAACAGCCCCAGCTCATTATCCCTCCTCCACCAAACTTTACTGTTGGCACTATGTATTCCAGTAGGTAGCGTTATCTTGGCATCCGCCAAACTGTTTGTCCATCAGACTGCCAGCTAGTGAAGAATGACTCATCGATCTAGAGAATACATTTCCACTGCTCCAGAGTCCAGAGGCGGTGTGCTTTACGCCACTCCAGCTGATGCTTGGCATTGCGCATAGTGATCTTAGGCTTGTGTGCAGCTGCTTAGCCATGGAAACCCATACTATGAAGCTACCAGTGCAAACCTTTTGTGCTGATGTTGCTTCCAGAAGCTGTTTGGAACTCTATATGGGTGATTTTTATGTGGCTGAAACACCTGATCTCAGTAATTGGCCATATGGTATGCATAGTAGTAGTTATTAGATAATATAACTAATTACAGTAGTTACTGGGGTCTTAAACACAGGCTTAGGTCTTAGTTTCATTCCACTCATCAGCCTGGTACCACATACAGAACCGTGTTCTTTTATTTTCTGCAGCTCGCAAGTGACCCCTTTTCGGAAGAAGTTGCTGAGCAGTGTGTCCTTGGCTGTGGTGCTGGGGATTTCCTGGATCATCGGCTACTTCATGCTCCTCTCTGTTGACCCAATTCAGCAAAACATTTTCACCTACGCCTTCTGTCTGTGCAACACCACACAGGTGTGATTAAGAGTCTGTTGCTGTTGCAGTTTATTATTAAAATCTCTACTCTAGTCATGATAGAATTTAAAGGGGATTTCTGGACATGGAAATACTTTTGTACTTTTTGTATTTTTTGTAAGTTATATATAATTTTAATGCACTATTTCTATTTATTTGCTTTTGAGTTTAACATTGAAAAAACAAAACATAGAATATAATTTTTTTTTTATTTATTAAATTTAGCAAATAAACAGTAATTATGCATTAAAGGGTGCAAAACTGTGATCTTTGTACAAGATGTGTTAACTTATTTTCAGTTCAACAAAACATGGAATTTGACAGAGTGCCCAAACTTTTGCATACAACTGTAGTTCTTTTCCTTGTCCTTTTTAATTTATATTATATTTAACTACAGCTCCATTTCCAAAAAAGTTGGGATGCTGTGCAAAATGTGAATAAAAATAGAATGCACTGATATGCAAATCATATAAACCATATTTTTAAAAGAAAATGCTATAAAGACAACATATCAAATTGAGAAATTTGATTGGTTTTTGAAAAATATATGCCTGCTTTGAATTTAATGCCAACAACACATTCCAAAAAAGCTGAGAGGGGGCCCGTTTACCACTGTGTTTCATCACCTCTTCTTTTAACAACACTCTGTAAGCGTTTGGGAACTGAGGAGACACTGCTGTAGTTTTGAAAGTGAAATGTTTTCCTGTTCTTGTTTGATATAGGATTTCAGCTGCTCAACAGTTCGGGTTTCCTTTGTCGTATTTTTCATTTTATAATGTGCCAAATGTTATCAGTGGTCACAGGTCTGGACTGCAGGCAGGCCAGTTTAGCACCCTGACTCATTTAATATGGAGCAATGCTGTTGTAATACATGCAGAACGTGGTTTGGCATCGTCTTGCTGAAATAAACAAGGCCTTCCCTGAAAAAGACGTTGTCTGAATGGCAGCATATGTTGCCGAAACATGTATATATCGTTCAGCATTAATGGTGCCTTCACAGATGTGCACGTCACCCATGACATGTGCACTAAGGCACCCCTATACCATCATGAATACTGGCTTTTGAACTGTGCGCTGATAACAAGCTGAGTGTTCTTTTGCCTGGAGGACACAGTGTCCATGATTTCCAAAAATAATTTCAAATGTTCATTCGTCGAACCACAGGACAGTTTTCCACTTCACCTCAGTCCATCTTAAATGAGCTCGGGCCCAGAGAAGGTGGCAGCGTTTCTCGATCTGTTTATATTTGGTTTCTTTTTTTGTATTTTAACTTGCATTTGTGGATGCAGCGACAAGCTGTTTTCACAGACAGTGTTTTTCAGAGCTGTTTCTGAGCCCATGCAGTGATTTCCACTACAGAATCATGTCTGTTTTTAATGCAGTGCCACCTGAGGGCCCAAAGATCACAGCCAGCAAATAGTGGTTTTTGGCCTTGTCTCTTGCATGCAGAGATTTCTCCAGATTCTCTGAATGTTTTAATGATATTATGTACCGTAGATGATGAAAAGCAAAGGTTCTTTGCTATTTTACATTGAGAAACGTTATTCTTAAATTGTTGCACTATTTGATCGTGCAGTCTTTCACAGAGTGGTGAACCCCTCCTCATCTTTACTTCTGAAAGTCTCAGCCTCTCTGAGATGCTCTTTTTATACCCAATCATGTTACTGACCTGTTGCCAATCAACGACCAGGTGTATTTATTAGCATTACCCAACTTTACCAGCCTTTTGTTGCCTCCGTCCCAACTTTTTTGGAATGTGTTGTTGGCATCGTATTCAAAATGGAGTGGTTTTAGAGTGGTTGTTCTATTTGTTCTATTTGAGTATTTAACCCATTAAATCTGTGTTTTCTTTCCAAAGGGTGTTCAGATCTTCGTTTTATTCACCTTAAGAACAAAAATCTTCAAGGAGAAGTTTTCCATCTTCAGGAAGTCCGTTCCAGCCCCTGAGGTGTCCGTTCACAGGATGAGCTACCACCTATGGTCCATCAGGGAGGAAGATCCCTTGGAAAGCTACAGGTCTACAGACTTCGATCAGCAAGTACTGCACCACATGGACGACCAAACGGAAAATCCAACATAAAACGTTTATGTAACTATTGGAAAAACGAATGTGACATGAAGTTCTCAGGGTTTGCAAAGTAAAGGTGAGTGAACTAATGTAAGTCAACCAGGAATGCCCTGTTTCACAGAAGAAGAAGAAAGGAGAAAAAAACACTTGGGATTCTCTACAGTAGCATGGTTCAGTACTGGAGTAACACTGGACCATCAATCAATCAATCAATCAGTCAATCAATAATTTATTTCTATAAAGTCATATGCAAAAGTTTGAATACTCCCAGTCAAACTACATGAGTTCAACATTTAAACAAAGTATAAAATGTGCCATAACGTTTGCACAGGCCACTTACTTACCACTGTGGAAACTTTTGTGCAACCAACTGTAATTAAGCCTGCCAAATCTGTAGCATAAGTTCAGTTACTGGCAGTATTAGTACTTTCGGCACATTTTTATATCGTCCCATCCCTAAAGCGAACCCCACTGATCTGCCAACCACTGCTAGATATCCTTTGTGATGATCAGCACAGTTCTGGACACTCTGCCAAAGTGGACTTTCAACGTATGGCATCTAGTGGCTCAGGAATAGACAGAAATGGAACAAAAATATGAACTGGCCTGCACAAGAACTACACCTCACTGCTCTTTTGGGCATCAATAACTCCTTCTGTATGGAAATGTCAGTGTCCACATCTTGATATTTGTCTAGATGCTCTGAATCAACACTCCATTGTTAAAGCTGGCGAATACTAATAAATGCTAATCACATGCAGGGTGCAAGCGAAAAGCTCATTTGAATCATAAAGGGCTTTTTCTTTTATTTGAATCGTAAACGACTTCATTTTTTTTATATATATATATATGTGCAGAACCAACACACGAGTGGCCAACATTCTGGATGCAAATTATGGCTTGATTGTTTTTTTATGTGGGTTATCACATATAGGGTGTGAGCAGACATATCATTTGAATGGTGGAGCCTTTGGTTTCTTCAACAAGACCCTTTTTAGAGACTCAGCACAGCCCAAGAGGCAAGATTTGACTTATAAATTTGTTTTTACTCGCATTATTATTCTTTTACGTTTGTTGGATTTAGTAACAAAGCCTCATACCATATGGAGCTGGTCATTCCAGTCAAATAATTCCAGTTTTACAGTACCAGTGGTCTTTGTGGGGTGGTTATGAAGTTAAACTTCAGGAATGCTTTCAATTAGGCCTCAGTTGACATGTGACTGCATCAAGTCTGGAATGTAGCTGCTTTAGCCTGTTAGTTTTAAGCAAACAAAACGGCGAAGCTAAGCTGCCGTTCGGAGTGTGTAATATTGACGTTACTAAATGAAATGTGACCATTCGGCTGTTCGGGCCAAACCCTGACACGCTCTCTCTCCAGACTGGTGGTGAGGTAGCTGGAGTCGAGCAGAGTGCGGTTATTGGGTAAGGGAAGGATTCTGAGTGTCTAGTAGGGCTTCTATGTCTGATTTCCATATATGTTCAAGAGTGGATGCCAGCACTGTCTAACTACTAACCCAGGAAGTCTATTTTTGGACTATTTTTGGTATTACCTGCATTTCTACTCTTCCTTTGTAGACGTTGACCTCACATTTCTCCGTCTGAAGGTTCTGACCACTTTGGATGATGAGGGAAAAAAAACATGCAGTTCTGCTTTCATAGTCAACAGATCCTTTGTGTTAAACAGGGTAGGGTTATATACCGTAAGGTGTTTTGCTCATCTCAATCATAATAAGCTGCAGTTACAACAGTGGCCACTAGAGGTCACTGGAATACCATAGCACACGTTAAAGAGTCAAGTAGGCCTATAAGCCATGCATCTCTTTACAGGTACACAGGCTTCTATTTATGTTGTAGATATTGAGTTTTCCATTTTCCAGTAAGATCTAAGAACTGATCCCACGATTTTGGACACATGTAGGTAAGGCCAGCTCAACACTGCAACACTTTATAAACACTGCGGTTTGTGACACTGTTATCTACATCGATCAGGCATAACATTCTGACCACCTCCTTGTTTCTACGCTCATTGTCCATTTTATCAGCTCCACTTACTATATAGGAGCACTTTGTAGTTCTACAGTTACAGACTGTAGTCCATCTGTTTCTCTGCATACTTTGTTAGCCCCCTTTTACCCTGTTTTTCAGTGGTCAGGACCCCCATGGACCCTCACAGAGCAGGTACTATTTGGGTGGTGGATCATTCTCAGCACTGCAGTAACACTGACGTGGTGGTGGTGTGTTAGGGTGTGTTGTGCTGGTACGAGTGGATCAGACACAGCAGTACTGCTGGAGTTTTTAAACACTCCACAGTGTCCACTCACTGTCCACTCTATTAGACACCCCTACCTTGTTGGTCCACCTTGTAGATGTAAAGTCAGAGACAGCAGCTCATGTGTGTCAGCATGGTTTGTGTTGGTCATCTTCTAGACCTTCATCAGTGGACACAGGACGCTGCCCACAGGACGCTGTTGGCTGGATATTTTTGGTTGGTGGACTATTCTCAGTCCAGCAGTGACACTGAGGTGTTTGTTTATTATTTATTTATTTATTTATTTCCAGTCAAAATAGCCTTCAAGGAGATATTTCTGAGAACATCCACTTGCGTAAGTAAAATAAGTGGGGGAAAAACAGGAGTTTCTAAACTGGAGTTCGAAAAATGATCAGAAGATACAAAGAAAATGGGGCTCCTAACAACCACCTGGAAGACCTGTTAGACACCAAAACTGTCCCCATCAGATAAACAGCACTTAAAGCTTTCATCTCTGAGAGAGAGGAGAAAATCAAGCTGCTTCAGATCTGAAAACATCCACAGGTGTTTCTGTCCATCCTTCCACTGTGAGAAGACAAGTCAGCGCTATGGGTCTGAAGGTCAAGTCAAATTTATTTATATAGCGCCTTTTACAACAGATGTTGTCACAAAGCAGCTTTACAGAGAATCCGGGTCCACGCCCCCAGTGAGCAAGCCTTGGAGACAGTGGCAAGGAAAAACTCTCTCAACAGGAGGAAGAAACCTCGAGATGTTTAGCTGTCAAGAAGAACCTCACTGAGAAAAGGAGACGGACACATCAAACAAAAAAGCACTGGTGTACATGTAGTGTTAGACACCACATAAGCAGGTCACTTTACGGGGTGACAGGGGCATCGCCTGGCCTGGCCTAACCTAACCTAACCAGCCACCTGCTTCTCTAAAGAGAGAGAGCACACAGAGCTACAGAGAAAATGAGAGAGAAAGCGCAGCTCGATTGAGAGGGAAAACGCAGCTCGATTGAGAGGGAAAGAGAAAGAGAAATAGAGATAGAGAAGAAGAGAGAGACAATGCTGTTCATGAAAACATGTTTACTTTAGGGTGATCTTTTATATTTAAAATATTGGGCCTCATGCACCAAACGTTCTTTAGAGGAAACCTCTTCTTAAAACCCACTTACACAGTTTTCACAAAGATTCTAGCATTCACTAATATTTTCTTATTTGGGGTTTGTTCTTAGATAAGAACAGAATCTACACACACTCAGGAGCACAAAAGTTAGAACAATTCTGCAGTTAAACGTAGGAAGATATTGGTGAATGAGGACCATTGTTTCTTGTTTGGTTTTAAGCAGAGTTTTAGTGAATGACTATTTAGCTTTTAAAATATATAAAACTATAGAATAGTTTTTCTGTTATCAGGAAAGGAGGCTTTTTTGTTTATAAGTCAACTTTGCTGAATCGCTGCATGTTTTGTTGACGTGTGAATTCTCATATTAAAAATCAAAAGTAGCAGCTGCTCATTTTACAGGTTAATTATAAAAACTGTGGGGGGCAATAATCTAAAACAATTCTACAATGAATTTGGTGGAACCAAAGATCTTTATATGCCCAGCAATGGTGATGTGGATGTTGTTGAGAAGGCATTTTGCACAATGCTAATCCATGAGATACAAACTTCAGACAATAATCATGTCTTGGCCGACATTTGGAGTAAGATAATTGCGTACATCAGATAAATAATTAGCCACCAAACTGCTCTGCTGACTTTATGGCTCTGGTCACAGGTCAGTGCAACAGGACAAACTTCGCTAACTATGCTTTATGAGCTGGGTAACCACACACCTTCATATGAGGGAGAGTGAGCGGCTTAAAGGTTATTGCCCATGACCTTTGCAGACCTGCACCTGGAGAAAGCTGGCTTTGTAGCCTATAGCAGATTATGTCGCTGTCCTTGAGCAACACTTAATCCAATCCCTTTCGGCTCTGCATTAAAGTCTTTGCACTTTTGCATACCTTATGGTATAGCATAATCATCAGGTATTAAAGCTGTTTCCTCAGGTTCAGTACAATCTCAGCTGATGAGAGCAGTAGACAGTCCTATAATCAAATGTACCACGTTTCCCCCCTTACCCCAGATGTAGTTGCTCAGCACAGATGTGTTTGAGTGAAGTAGAGGTCTTGCAGCACATTTTCAATGATGTGTACGCGCATAACCAGCCCACTGCAGGCGGGAGCGGGACTTAATGATTCATTAATGAACAGCGAAATAAAGTAGAACCATCACTAAATCATATATATAATAATATAATATGATAACAGTGACACAATTAAAATGAATGAAGTCATTCTAAGGAGCTGCAAAGCCAACGATCATGGGAACAACATGCAAATTGTTGTAGCTGACAGAGATGGCAGAGTCTTCAGTCTGACGGCAACAGCTGCCCAGAAAAATACCCCAAATAACCTTTTTTTGTGGTTTAATTCTTGCTTTATGTTTATTAGGACTAAATGGCGTGAAGTTACTTCACAGTGAGCCTGATTTACCATGACTACCATGTTATTTCAGCATAGAATAATGTATTTTGTGAACAGACTGTGTCAAATATTGGATGTTAGTTTGCCTTGACGGAACAGTGCGGGGGGAAGCTGGCCAAAACGTTTTGGTTGCGAACGGGACAAATCATTCCAATTATGGGTGGAAGCAGGCTTAAATCTTGTGGAAGCTACAAGGCTAATGTGTCTAACAAGTAAAGGAAGCTTCTGTA